AAGACTTCTTCACTTCTAGAAGCATCTAGTAATGAAAAAAGCACACTACAAGGTTATTATGTGCTGTTAGAGTTTTAGCAAAGCTGACTTTGCCTTGGAAGAACCAGATAATTCTCTTGGAAACATAATAGCTACAGATCTGTTCAAATACCTTTAAACATGAAACCTGGCACATGTTCATGGATAAACCTTGAAAAGTCTATTGTCCATTTAGAGTTAGTTTCAATTAGATATATTGAAATCTTGTACCCAAAAATAAATAAAACTTAAAAAGCTGTAACTTTTTTTGACCAACCTTTACAGTCTTGTTGAACAAGACTGTATAGATTACAAAATTTGTTCACGGCACATTTTTAAAGCAGGAATATTTCCAAGAAAATTAGCATGCACTCCAAGAACAAAGATATCTTCTGCTGTAATAGCGTATCATAAGCCCATGGGGTGTTCTTTGCAGTATCGGAGCAACCAGAAGTGAAGACATCTTCCTACTCTGACAAAGGACAGAAATAATATGCTTGAGAAGCAAACACAGATCCATGCTGCAAAACAGGTAGAAAATAAAAATATTCAAAATCTGGATTTTAAGATAAAAGGAAATCAGTTGTATTTGTAAAAATACAAGTAAGTTTATGGCTGTGGATTTGAGGTGGCCTGCTAATCTCAATGTTCATGATCAATAAATCAGTATAAACATTATAATTGCCAAAACAAGATAGAGTTGCAGTATTATAACCCTGGGAAGGATACGGAACAATCATTTTAAGACTTAGAATACATCAATCCTGTGGTTTCCGTTGAAAATATTAAGACCATCACAGTCTTGGACACACACCTTATCATGGTATAGGGGCTTGAGGGTGTCAGAGAAGGCAAGAGGAAATCAGACAAGAGACCAGACTCTCTCCTTAGTCATCCAGGGTCACCCAGGCACTAGCAGGGTTGCTCAAGACAGAATGATCAAAGACAAAATACTAAGCTGCACCCACTTTGTTCAAGAGTAACGGTTTCATTAGCACAAGAGAATGGCTATCTCTAATGGTGATGGGCTTGGAGAAACTCCTAAAGAGCAACTACTTGCAACACTGGTAGAGCCGAAGGCAATAGGGCAGGGAATCTGTCACAAACAAAGTCAGTGAAGTTCAAGCTAATTCTAGTTAGAAGAAGGCAATGGTAGACCACTTCTGAATTTCTCTTACCTTGTAATCCCTATGATGAAACAATACCAATTAAGACCATAGTTAACATTTTAACATACCAATTTAAGAACTCACATTAGAAAAGCACTAAGCACTGGTAAGTGAAAATGCTATTACAGTCCAAATATTTCCAAAGAATAGTCACCAATGACTAAGTTTTAGCTCAAATTTAACCAGGTTTACTTAAACATGTATTTAAACATTATGCCTACTATAAATGACTGTTCTATATTTTGGGAATTACATCTGGCTTAAAACACTGTTCAGCATAATAAAACAGAAATATTCACAGATTTCTCAGGCTTTCAGTCTAATGTGTGGAAAAGGGAGTGTGAAAGCCAGAGTTCTTTAGCAGTTTGAAGGTGTATCTCAAGGGAAGGGCAATTTGAGAAACTATTAAGGGCACTCTCATAGGGTATCATAGGTTGCCCTTAGTCATGGACACATCTGCAAATTTGAGAAATTATCTAGGGCACTTCCACAAAATGGCTGTCATTGGAGGCATGGCAAAGAATAATTAAACCAAAACTAAATATAAGGCAAAGATATCCACAGTTTTTGTTTCAACAGAAGCCTAATTCCAACCACTAGTTTGTTTTTTTTTAATGTTGGAGCGACAGGACACTGGTGGACACCAGGAAAGGTGTTAGAAGACATACTGCAGCCTCTTGCCCACCTCTGACCGATCCCTTAGACTCCATAGCAAGCAATGTTCTGTTTATTTAAATGCAAACTTTCCACAATTCCATAATAGGTAACAGATCCAGGGAATTGTGTTGCACCAGAAAGACACACTCTTAGCATAATGGCTAGTCAATGCTTCATAAATAAACCTTTGAAATGAGTAGAAATCCTTCTTTTTGGATCAGGGTAGGTCAGTGTATTTCCTTTCTGTGAGCTTTGCTGATCTGCCCCCTTCCAGAAACAAGGGTTTCTACTGATTTTGTCTTAACAACCAATGACTCTCTGGTGCATTGGTGGTGGATCCCACTGCCCATGGCCAGCATAGGATACTGTCCAGAGTATCTTAGGAATGAGAGCAGTATATTTAACTGTGTTCTCTTTAAAGTCTAACCTGATGGTAGTTAAAAAAGCAAGCAAAAAATTATGTGTTTATGGACAGTGATTCTTAATTCTGCAAAGCTATTCAAAGGTAATAATCAGGGCCAGAAGTAAGGGCTGTGAATGGCTGAGGATCTTCATCTGTGTATGGCTGCAGTAGCCTGGTGCATCTACCACCTGGAGTGTGAGGATCTGAATAATAAAAACAAATTAAAAATACACATATTTTAGGTTCCCCACCACCACCACCACCTGCTTATTAGGGCCTCTCTGTATGGCTTTTAACCCATCATTTACCTAGGCTTCTGCATCCAGATTTTTTGTGGGATTAAGACTGGCTCTTGTATGTGTATTTCTTTCCAAGAGTTTTCTTTTGCTGCCGTTCTCTATGTTCCATTACACAAGCAGTAGGTAGACTTCTGGTATAGTGAAAATGCACAAATACACTAGGGTTTCATGTCACCTTCCAGGGATATGCCAGACTCTCAGGGGGGAAAGGCCGTGCTAAAATGGGTTGAAAGCACAGGATAGGCCTTGGAGGATGATGACATCATGTAAAGCACTTTTAAACTACTGTGACGAATCATAAGCACACAATAAATGCATCATGTAGAAAGCCTGTTAGATCCAGTGCAGTACTGCTCTAACTCACATTAACAGGACTCTACTGAAAGTTAAGAGACTTCTACTGATACAGGATCAGAACTCAAAAATTAAAATAAATTTTCAACAAAGCCATAATATGTTATAAAATAGGAAAATGGTAATTTTTCAGTTGCAGTCACCTTTTAAGATTTAGTACCAGTACCAGATTTTGGGCTACCACCAGCAAATACGTAATCTGTCATGTAAGTTTTCAATTCTACATTGTAAGCTTGTTCCTACCTGCAAAATTCTAAATCTTTAAATTTATGGAAAGGCTCTACTTATGATTATATCTAAATTCATAAGTATGCAGTTTCAATAACGGTTGTAGGCTAAGTAATAGGGTTACTTTTAGGTGTTTTATTTTTAAATGCTAGAAGACTAAAATTATTTCCAAATTATATTCAACATGGAAAACAATCCTTCTTAATTCCATTTGAAAAGAAAAAGAGAGTTATAAACCTGCTAACATTTTAAACAGCAGATCAATCACAGCATTTGTAAAATTTCTTTATTACAGTTCATTACAGCAAGCTTTTAGCACTCTTATAGCTCCAGCCTCTAAAAATTAAATTCCATGTTAAGTTCAGTTTATCATAATAATGTTTTAAAATGACATTAAAATAAAAATGCAAAGCCAGAGCTTTATTAAGGAACAAGTATGGCTGGAGGGAAAGGACCAGTCAAAAAGCAGTTCTGCAAAGCATAGAGACAATTTCCCTGAGCAAATTTATGCAAGTGCACGATACACATGTGCTTAGATGCTCTGTCGGACACGGACAGGTTTAAGGTGGTCCAACCATTTGGATTAGGCATCTATCACAAACTTTTTAACTTTTTGGGTCTCTGCTATGTGATGTTGCTAGTCGATTTAGCAGACGGGCAAACAGATGCTTTCACAAATTTCTGCACTGGGGTGAAATGGTTTTTATAATGCCTTCAGTCTTCCCATTGCAGCAGTCTTCCCATTCATCATTCCCACTCAGTGACCTGCTAACCCAGAAAGGGGCATTCGTTTACATAAATGAGTCTAACACAGTAGAAATTCTGATTGTTGTTCTATTTTAAAGGGGAGGGTGCAGAGAGATGCAGGGAGAGGTATGCCTTAAAGCTAATACTTGTACAAATCAATGCACAGTAGTTGGAACAGGCATAAGATTTAGAAAGGACTGTGGTGATGGCGTGGACAAGAAGGACTTACCATCAACTCACTATACCTATACAAAACAGAGCAAAGGAGGAAATAGGTTCTTGCTAAAATGGACAGAACTAATATTCAAAGAAGGCATATAGATATCTGCTGGCTTAGAAGTTCAAAGGACTTGATACAGATGAGACCTTGAAAACATGCATATTTTTGGTAATATCTGAGTTGGTCTAATAAAGGTACTACTACATTATGTGGATTTTCTTATGGCCAACAAGGCTGCCTCATTTTTTGATACAGGCAGAACATTCCTCTTCCAAATATGTGTAGGGGAGAGTGACATCCACCCTACTTCTTTAGCACTGATCCCAGAGAAGGCTACTGGGCAACTTCTCAGTCAGTCAACTTCTTACTGACAGACCATTCAGGATCTCTGGCCAGACATTCTTACCTTTTGCTCTGTGTTATCAGAATCAGCAGTCTGCTCGGGGTGGGAGGAATAAGGCAGTGCATGCAAGCTCCTGTGATGCAGCCACTACCCAGTGCTTGTCTACAAGCATCAATGCATCAACTTCAGGTACTTCTTCTACCCTGCAGGTAAGGGCATCCATAGCTTGATAAAGTAGGTCTTAACTACATGGCTTAAACTGCAAGCTATTCACTTCAATTTTTGCTGTATCAGGGCTACATAGTCTGTTCTGCTTGTCAGAAAGGATATCTGAATAAAATAGGACATACATATGGAATTGTGGATTGCCTCAATTTTACAAGCTTGTGATTTCATGTTAATTGAGCTCCAAGAATCAATGTGCAGAGATCATTTCACAAACCATTTTCAAAGCAAACAAGACTAAATCCACATAGGCTGCTGAGATGAATCACAAAAAAGCAGCACTGAGATAATCTAGAGCTAAAATGATGGCATATGATTTATGATTAAGCATCATTACCTGCAGAGCAAGGGGCTTCCATCTCATATTTTTCAGTAAAGCTGGTGCTGAGGTAAGCATGCTCTGAGGTCGCTTTTTCAAAGTTAAGATAACACCACTCGGATCCTCTCGTAGTGCATTCACCAAATTTTTCAACTGCCACCCCACCTGGTAACCAGCAAAATTATTACAATAAAATTGAGGTACAATATTCACAATGTAATCTCTCCCCTTCAATAATATTAATTAGTTCAAAGTTTTAGAAGATTAATTTTTAAATGTCACACTTTACATCATTGAATCATGCCATCTTAAAAATATCAGTATTATCAGGATGCATTAAAATGGGTTATTTGCCATTTAAGCTTGACAAATTAATGTGTTGCTCCTGCTAACAGAGTTGGGCATTTATTTTAATCTTTATGTGATTTTTAAATATTTGTTTGAAACTAGTTATGGCCAAAACTCAAAATTGCAAGGAAGAGTCTTATAAGCTAAAAATAAATAACCACTGGCCTCCAGTTAAACTGTACATTTCTTACGTTATTATCTTTTACAGTTAAGCATGCTCCTATGTTTCCTCTTCCACACACCACATACCATAATATTATAAAATCAACTACACAAATCTACTCTTTCAGATTGTTTAGAAAATAAGAACACAGTAGAAAACCAAACCCACTCAGATTGTAAAAGCATTATAAAAAACAACGTATGCTTTAAATATTCCATGCTTTTATTGTGCAATTTCAAGTGAATCTAAAATTTTCAGTATCTGTCAGTAAATGCATGCATAAATGCCAATTCATCAATAGCAATATTTTAAAAGATCACATTAAATAATGACTTTTGTCTACAGTACTGAAGCATGCAAGAGCAGTACAGAAACCATGACAGAGGCAGATTACACCCGAAAAATACTTTCCGCTCTAGTGTAGTACTGTCTGAAATAGCTAGTCTGTCTGACAACTATCCACCTGGAGACATTAAAAGCGGCTCATGTGCATTGGACAGCCTTCTGAACCTGAAAGTGCACATGTGCCAAGATGCATGTACTGTACTAATATCCCATTTTTACTTTCCAAACCACAGAAGGGAAGAGACAAGAGCTCTGAGAGCACACTAGCAGCATCAGTGGTTGGGTTTCTGTGCCTAACTGCTCTGTCTTATGTATGTGTATTCTGATGTACTTCAGCAGGGCTTACTCCTAGGTAAATAGACATAGGATCACAGCCTAAAGTTCTCTGTTGCCCTAAGTCATAGCTAAGACACTTGCTTTTTCAAAAGGAAGTTTCTTGAACTTTTTGGTTAAGTCTAATACATTTGATATACAGAGAATGGGCACAGCCCATTCAGAAAGGTATTTTAAAATCACCTTAATATATGTGACCCAATTCTTAACTTTGAAAGATAAAGCGAGAAATAAACTAAGAAAAAGCCATAAGTTCTATGTACTAGTACTTCAGCCTAATGAAAAGTGAGGTTGCTTCTCAGGATCATGTTAATGAATATGCGAAATAAAGAGAATGACCCAGTATAGAGAATGTATCTGTGTGGTTCCTTATCCTCCAAGGCCCTGATGACAACGAACTTCAAACAAGTGGTACTCATATATTTCAACTGAATGGCCCTCTGAAATAAAAACAAGTAGCTTGTAGAACTCATTCTCCATACAAAGAACGTTTGCAGTGAAGCAGACAAGGCAGTGAATTCACCCTCCCACCCCCTTCCTGTCCCATTGTCTTTGTGTGCCTGTCACAATGCATATGAATAACCACCTTCTGCCCACAATCATCTGCCAGGAACCAGGAGGTGGGGATGGATAGAAACTCAACATGGTATGGTTGAAATTGATGCAGTGATTACTATGGTCAGGACAAGGGTCACTGGAATGTTCTTGGAATATGTGTTCTTATACTTTCTCTGAAGGCATCATCACAAAACAGGTTTATCTTTTTTTGTTGTTTATCAACTTACACAGCAACAGAATGCTCTTTGAACCTCCAAATACCTTTGTTCAATCTGTATAAACAAGATAATCAAATGACAACTAGATATGACTATATTTAAATATATAAATATACTGTACTAAAATAACAGAAAAACACACCTCCACTCTTTGGTTGCCATGAATTTATTGAAGTTATATAAAGACCAAAAGACTAATAATACTGCAAGAATAAATTGAATACTATTTATTCAATTCTGCAAGAATAAATTGAGAACTATGTCCTGACATAAAATTGCATCTCTATCTTAGACAACCCTTCAATATTTTTCCTAGTGATATAAATTAGGACAAATCTGTACTGGTTTTTCTCCAGAATCATTTAATTAAACTATGATATTAATCTTACATTTATAGTTATGCAGAGGATTTAAGCAGGCTGTATGTTGCCTGCCCTAAAAATAAAACGTTTACAATTCTACAGCAATATAATCTAAATTCTGGGTCAAGAATGAGACATAAATAACTCAAAACTTTAGCAAATATTTGCTTCTTTTGCATATTGTATTCTACTTATAGTAGTCATGATGTTGGGACCCATGGGAAATGTTTCTGTTTCTTTTCTAGCTTCACTAGGTATAACCAACATGCCATCAAACCTATCTGTATAACCTTAAGAAATAGATTTGTGCTCTTTAAAATCCAACTGGATATTTCAGGTTACCGAATTATGCAGCAATGCATTTGTTCAGTGTAATACTGCTTTGTGACATAAATATAGTTTTCTTTACATATTGTCTCAAGGCTGGTTCTACCAAAAGCTACACTGTGCTCATTTTAGCACAATCCAACTTTTGAAAGAATAAGGTGACAAAACAACATGCAAACAGGTTGATGTGTTAATATGCCTTCTCCCAACAAATATTGTTTAAAGTCAAGAAAATATTATATTGCACTTTGAATATGGTACCTAGAAGCTGTGACCTAAAGCCCAGCAAATGCATTGGCTTCCCATTCTATTTCATAAAATAAACAGCTCTATGCACTAGTTGTGACTCTTTAAAACTGTAGTTGAAGTCCAGTCCTTTGCTCATGCTCTGTTCTTGGCTTTCACTCATCCCATTCTGGTTTCCATTGCAATGCTCTACAATAGGATTCCACCCATGAAGTATTTGAACTGCTTCTTTATGAGAACACAGGAAAAAAGCTAAATTCCCTTATGCTTTTCCTGACTAATTTATTCCATTTTAGCTCAGTATTTCAACTTTTAAAACCAGTTCTCCCTTTGTATTCCATTCTCCATGATCCCTATTAGCATCTAATATCTAATTTAAACTGCAACCAGTGAGGAACCTTGGCACGAAAAAAGTTTTTCCACCACTAGCCTATGGCCCCTACCTAATTTCACTGAGCCCTAAGTTAATGAGTCCACCTCAAAGATAGCAGCAATGAAACCACAACAGGAGCCATGTGTCGACAAAAAAAAACAGAACTGGTTTTTGCAAGGCCATTGGGAACTACTTCTAGCATTCCAGGTTTGTTCCCAAACTTTGAGGATGGATCAGGAATGAGGAATCTAGCAGATTGGAGGCTGCCTCATAAGAAGACTGTCACTCCCTCCAAGTCCTGGAGTTTGGCCAAAAACTCAAGGCTTTCTGCTATGCAGCCTGGAGATATATAGATCCACTTTTGGAGACCAACACTTGGTACAGCTGTCTTTCTATTAGTGATGCCAAGAAAGTCGCAACAGATTCAAATAAATTCTGATTTCTAGGAATGTGCCCTGCAGATTCCTCAGCTGACCACGTTTTCTCCGAATCACAGAGATTCAGCACACGCGGTTTTAACTTTTTTGAAGGAGGAGAAGGATTTGCACTAATTTGCATTAGTATTAGTGTGTATAAGTACAAGTCTGTAGTAGCACGAGTGTTCACTTGTACAAATGCACTAAATTGAATTAATTAATTCACATTAACTAATTGCCACTAATGTGGCTTGTACTAATGTGGATTAGTGCAAGTGGAACAAAATGCTGGTAAAAGAAAATTCAATTTCTGTCCATGAGTGGATGACAGAACAAAAAAATATTGGAAAGGGATGGAACACAGACGAAATGGACTTAACGAGATCCATGCATGCCTACTTTTCCGCCAAGAACTTATACAATGCATCAGTACTCCAGGAATGTTTACATTCTCTTGCTGGACCTCTTCCTTCTCTGTTCAGGACCATACCTCCTCACTGCCTGCTCAGTATTTATATCACAACACTTCATTAACATCAAAGAATATTAAGAGTTTTTTTAAATGACTTAAGTATTTTTAAGCATTTGTCATACAAATCCCCATTTTACAATATTAATCTAACCGTAGCAGAAGCAGATCTGCAATAGGTCTTTTAAAATAGTTAATTTACTTCTTAGCATTTTTCATATCAATTATCAGATTGTTATCATATTATCCTCCTCATAGCAGAGGAGTATACTATCATTTTACTGTTATTTCTGAAAAAGGTATATTGTGCACATTTTTGAAAGCCAAGCCAACAAAAATATTTAAAAAAAACCTAAAATGCTATATGGAATTGCCAATGCATTTTCTGTTTCATTTTTACTTTGCACAATATTCACTTTTGCCAGATATCTTCATTCAGTCTTGATTTTAAATATATTTTTTCTTTAGCCATAATAGAACACACTTTATTTATTCTATGTATGATTAAGATGGACACATGGTTTTACTTGTAAAGGAAATATAATTTTGAAGCTATTGTTTATTCTATTACTTTTCATTTTTATAATAAATTCATAATAGATAATATATTATCAGTGAAAAGAATGAACAATACTGCATCCATGCTTTCAGAATTAAAATCATAACGCATGATATAAAACACAGCATGTTACTGGAAAGGAAGAAACAGAAGAAAAGAAATAATAAAAATTGCAACTCTATCGTTGTCTATTCTGAAAGAAGTAGTGGTACTTATTGCTATGGAAGTGAGTATAGGATTATAGTCTAGGCCAGTTATAAGATGTAATACATGTAATTTATTTTCTTAATTTCTAGTGAACTATTTAATGTAAAAATGCCCAAAACAATGCTTTTTCAATTGGCTTAAAAAATAGCATTAACATGTGTGTGTTTTTTAATGCTTCGGGCAAAAACCACAGAGATACAACTAAACTATGTAAATTGAAGTAGCAAGGGTGTATATTAATAATAAAGCCCTGAAGTCTTCATATGAGTAAGGCTCTCACTTTAAAGGTTTCATCAAAATGATCTGATTTTAAAAATTAAAAGGAGTACTCAAAACTTAGCTAATTCACAACATTAAAAGGCAATTTTGTGAATATATTCTAATAGCAAAAGGTCCTCTTGCTGGAAGCTTTACTGACCCAAATGTTTGACTCTGCCAAGTAGTACGTGGGTGTTACCTCTGACTCAGGATGCATTACTCACGTTACAGTTGATAAGAGGCAGAGCCTGGAATGACAGAGACACAGAAGTTTAGGGTGAAGAGAGCCACAGATAGTCCTCCTCTTAGGCACGATTGAGAAAAAATACTAGAGTAGGAAGAGCCTTCTATATGAATCATAATTTAAACTGATCAGTAACTTAATTCTAAAACTATTCACTATTTTAATCATCATTAAAAAGTTGTCAGTTACAAAGACTATTATCATTATGCACTTAACATTTCAATCCTAAACCTTTTTACTTGGAAGCCCTTGTCAGTGGCTTTTCATTTCAAGTCATTTTGCTTAGGATCAGTGAAGGCTCTCAAATCCCATTAGGAATGTTTAGAGAAGTAGGTGGAATAACTCTTGAACAGATGTGCCAGCTGAGAAGGGCCCAGTGAGAAAGAGCAGAAACATGTTTTTATAATCCCTGTTTTAAAAGTAGTGTGGCTATGGAACAATGACCCAGATCCAATCAACCTCAAACTTAGTTGCACAAGCCTGAGGGTGCTTCAGACACATGGATAGTAGTTTTTAAATAAAAACCAGCAAACTGACATTTAAATGAACAGGAGATTTAAATAGCTGTTGATGATACAACATGTTCTGCTCCGTTCCAAGAAAGAAGTAAAAACTCCACTGGATGACTGCAATACTTTTTTGGATACTCAGCGGCCCTTTTGATTTTAGCCTATTTTAGCTACCTTTCAATGGCTTGTGCATGTTCAGAAGCATTTATGCTTTTAGGCAGGGATGGAGAACATGTGGTGCTCCAGATGTTGTTGGACTGAAGTTCCCATCAGTCCTAGCCAACATAGCTAACAGGAAGGAATGATGAGCGTTGCAGTCCAACTTCATCGTGAAGACCCTATGTTTCCCATCCCTGCCTTTCAGTGGGTGCGCTAAGCAAAACCTGATGCTACACAAACTGTTTTGAAATCTTCTTAGCTTAAAAAGTGGCTTTTGGAAGACTAATCTTGGAAAAACACAAAGTCTCCCTCGGGACATGGAGCTTGTTGCATTATGTGCTACACTGACGAGTTTATCCCTGGTCTCAACTGAAGAAGCACTTTGGTGCAAGCTTCTACTGAGGGCTACACTTATTTAGGTTACTGAGATATGGATATAGACTGTTAGCAGAGCTTAACTCATGGTGAAATAAATTAATGATATCAGTGAAATGACATCCAATTAACTTAGTCTGGATTCAACCCTGAATGTTCCAACAGGTCAGAATGTAATGTATAGTATTACTCACCATGGACTGTCTTGGGTCACTTGAGAAAAAGGAGGATGGTGATGGTGAACTCTTCACCACCTGTCTTGGCTATTATACTGGCCCCACTACACCCTTATCTTGAAAGGTACACTGGGAAATCTGTATTTCTGCTTGCTTGTTGTTCTGTTTCTTTCTCCCATATACTCACTCTCACAAAGATTCTCTAATGATTTTAAATGACTGCTCCTACAGGAAATTCACTCTTCCTTTTCTGTTTAATAAATATGTGACTCTTAGAGCAAGGATAAGGTCAGTTCACCAGACAACTGAGGGATACATCCGGTGTTCTTTCTTTTATTCTATTTCTGGCTTCTAACAGTACAACTTACATTTAGAGCATCAAATTGGTTATTAAGATAGATAAGTGGAAAGGTAGTCCCTTTCCAACCTCAAATTGGCTATGAATGCCCCCTGCTACCTGTGTTTTCTGACTCAATTGGATCAATAAAAAGAATTACCTTTCTTAGGCCTTATTATATTTTGAGCCATATTTTAAGACTTAAACTATCAGCAAGGAATAAGACAGTCAAATGCATAGAACATGCATATAATGGGAGCGAATAATACTCAAGTTATAATTGTCTTCCTCAACCTTGTGCCTTGAGATGCTTTAGACTGCTATTCCCAGCAATGCTGATCTTCTGCCATGCTGGATCGGAATAATGTGAGGCAAAATCCAAAACATCTGGAAGGGATCAGGTTGGGAAGGCTGAGGTATAACAACAGGCATTAATAAACTAAGGTTAGTGGAACTTGGAAGAACTGAATGCATGATTCTGTCCTACTTACCAATCATAGATTGATAACGGGGCAAATTACTGATAGCATTGTCACAGTTTAAACTACTTTATTGGACTGAGAATTACATCAAAGTGAAGCTTAAGATTTTCTTCTTTGCAACAAATTCTTTCCTTGAAATTGTTCAAGGATAAAAAACCCTGAGCAACTAGACTACCCAAAAGCTATTTTAGTAGGACGAGAAAATATCAAGTACTATGTATCATCATGGACCTGAAAAAGTGCTGAAGAAGAGCTAAATTAATCATAGGAACAGACTCTGAAAATAGTCAATTCCATGTGTACTCTTCTGATTCTTTAGTTGACTTGTGGGGTTCATTAGAAAGCTTTAGCATTTGTCCATGTTCTTTGTTACATTATTTGTTCATATAGAAATGTAAACAACCACAAGCATTCTTGCACACTACCCTTCATTGACTTCCACTAGCTTGTGAGTTGAATTGAGCAATTCCAAGAAGCTCCTGAGAATGGTGTATGATTTTTAAAACTCTTCGTCATTCACTAAAAGAGAATCAACTTCACTGTTCCATGTAGTGCCTAAGTAATACCTGCCTAGAGAAGCTACACTATAATTGCCTGGAGCTCTATCCTTAGTTGTTTTCTGCAACTGTTATAAGAATCTTATGCTACCACAGTTCTCTCTCACCTTTTACAAATCTTATTTCATTAGAAATGTGACCGATTGCTAATGTCAGCTGTGGAATGGATGTTATGCTAGACAAAATGTAAGTTGGTGCAGCATTAAATAGTACTATGGGATAGTTTCAGAATGTGAGGTAAGTGTTAACAAGATAAAGAAATTAACTAGAACTGTAAGAGAGAATGCCTCAGAGCCAAAGCTCTCCTATCGGGGATTCAGCAAGGAATACTATTACACTGGTTCTGACAGGTCTTCCAAAATTTTTGCTTAGGTAGATCACAGCTCTATGATTGGTTCTTCTAGAATAACATCTATACTGGGAGCAGCTGGCCAGCTGGATGTGCAACTTAAGGAAAAATGACTGCTGTCAAAAAGGACTAATGCAATGATGACATAAATCTGTATCTGTAATAACTGGCTTTTTGCCAATTGATCAAATAATGTTCTATTGGAAATTCAGCCTATTATGGCATTTTATCACTCAGATTTTTTGTTGGACTGAACAAAAGAGTACTTGGTGAAAAGTTCAGTAATCAGTTTTTAGCAACCAGTTGTATTTTGTTAATTAAATGGATGGGTAGGAAGTGGTTCAGTGCAGACAACTTGTAGATTACAGACCAATCAGTTCATCACACATGGAAGAAGAACAGTCTTTCCTCCTATTTTCCTTCTATCCTCTTTCCTTGAATATTATATTGTTTTACATTGAATTAATTGCTGAATTAAATAAAGCCTAGTTACAGCATAGCCAATGACAGTTATATGATCACAGAAACATAAAACTGCTGTTATTAATTTGTATATTTGGAAGCAGTACAAATTGCCATACCATCATTACTAATGCTACATTGAGCCTCAATTACGCACTGCAACCAGAAGATCTCTTAGTCATGTGTTACATGGAAATTACATTTTAATTATTGAGAAGTAGCATTTTGTAGTTAATGTCTGTAAAATCTTGCAATTCATTCACCTGCATTTCTGGATTTGCCAGAAAAAATCAGGTGTCTTCTTTGAACTTTGAGCACAAAAACTAAAATCAGCAAGTCAGCACATTGATTTATCTATTTTCTTCAGAAAAGAAGACTATAGATAGAAATCTTCTGTAATGTCTAATCTGTAAAGTATAATCTCTAATTACATGGGAGATTTGCATAATTATTGTACCAAACTTCTGATATCTTACAGATATTTTTCCAGTTTAAAAATCACTCTTATTCCACACACACACACACACACACACGCATGCACACAGCCCTTTTTCAACCTAGTGCCCACTAGATGTGTTGTAATGTAACTCCCATAATTCCCAGCCAGCATGATCAATGACCGTGCTGTACTCAATGACCGAGTTGTACTATACTACATCTAATGGGCAAAAGGTATAGATATATCATCAGCTTCCAGAGAAGCAAGCAAACGTCTGCCTTAAAACAGAGTGGTCTTTTTAATACTATTTCTCAGCATCTCGCATCTCCAGCCAGTCAGGAGTATATTATACCTACCCAATACATATATGGCTAAGCTTCAGGTGAAATGGGCAGCTGAAAGTTTACACTCTGAGCCAGTATGGTACACCATAGCTAATAAAGTCAGCATATATAAATTGATGCAGTGTACGTACATCTGTGTGCCATTCTGAATATCTGTAAGCCATTCTGTATAGTTACAAGTTATCTTTACAATCTAGTGAAGCACTGACATCTGAATTAAAAATGGTGTTATATCACTCTCTTAGTAGAAAAAGCAGGAAAACCAAATAATTTAGTGAGGATAGACTCAGAATTATAAACAAATACACTGGCACAGGAGTCTTAGGATTCGGTTTAAATCCCTCTGCCAATGTATCTTGAATCTACAGCACTGCAATGAACTCTACCCTAACGTATTGCTAGCAGTACGATGGCAGAATGTTGCTCTGCCATGTCCCTGCATCCAGCGAAACTCTTCTGGTGTAGGGTTGAAAATGGGTAGTATTGCTGATATTGCCCAAGGAAAAGCAGGCTTGGTCCAAATCCCAAGCTTTTCAGATCCTGCTCCTAGTCCCTGTGTTGGAGTGACATTACATGGCAACAGTGCAGGTATATGTCCAAAACACTGAACACAGAGGAAAATCAAAGTATACTGCCTTCCCCCCCACTACGAATTCCTCCTGCTACACCAAAGCCATCACAATGGCTTGTAGGAATCCAGTTAACTCTGTATTCAATCAAAGTGATTCCACATCAGTATAAAGATCCCAGACGAGTAGCTCATAAGATGGCCAGGCACTTGGTATCATGTCTACCTTTATGCCACACAGTTAGGGTATCTAAAAAGGAACCTTATTCATGGGAACTATGGTGAAATGACACTTCATGCAATTATCGTGGCCTCAAAATAAATATAGCAAAAGCAGATTGTTAACACCACTCTACCCACAGCCTTTTCAAGTACTCTAACTCAGGACCCCCAACTCCAAATAATCAACGATTTCTATTCAACTAACCCCACAGGGTACTCAAGGGCAGGACACCCTGCACAGGTAGGTGGAGGATGGAAAGAAACCATCTTTCAGAGTATGACCGCAGATTTAAGTATGACCAATGATGTTAGCTAAACCCTAACCTTTCTCCCTCACCAAGGTTGCTCAAGTAGAAGACACAAAGTATGCATTGTGCAGATAACAGACAGACTGGTCACCATCAGCGCCCAAAGGCAGGTAAGCTCTGTTAATGATGACTGCTAGAAACTGCTTTCCAAACATTAAAATAGACCCTCAAACACTCACACAACCTTTGCCTTGCAGGAGTGGGATAGTGTGGACACAGGGGGTAAGCAAGCAGTAAAATCTACAGAGATTTACACTGCAGCTTGGTAGAGTGGATAAT